CTTCCTCCGCCCCCCGACCACACCCCCTTAAAGGGCCAGCCCCGCTTTGGGCCCCTCACCCCCACCCCGCCTCCGGGTAGCGGGTAGAGGAGGGTCCAGTCCGCGGAGGTCTGGGCCTGGCTGTTCGCACGCCCCTAATTTAACCTCCTAGCCCCAAACCCAGGCTTAGACTCAGCGTCTGATACCAGGACTTGCGCACCCGCCAGATCTCTAGCCCTCGTTGGATCCGGTCTTATTCTGTCCTCATTGAGACAGAATGGGGGGCGGGGGCGGGCGCACAGAGGCATGGAGGGGAGAGGGTCCTGGGAGTAGGGCGTGGGTCCGTGAGGAGTCATGGGAGACCCAGGGGTCTGGGTCCTTCAACCCCTTGGCCTGCAAGGGACCAGCGGGCTCCTCTGAGCGGACCGACACGTGGACCGGGTTCCCAGGAATGGAGAAGTGGAAAAGGCGGGCAGGAGCTGCCCAGGTGCCCAGACGTCCTACTTGGCGGGGGTCCCACGCCCCCAGTGGAGGCGGCTCTGGTTGGGGTGGACAGAGCCGGCCCTCTGGCTAGAAGGGCCCGACCCAAGGCAGCCACCGCCCACCGGCCGAGATGGCGGCGGACGGGGCTTGTGGGAAATGTAGTTCGCCGTCGGCCCCTAGAGGCCGTCCCGCCCCTGGGGCGCAGCCCGGCCGGGAGGCGCAAACTTGTTTGGGGCGCCCTCCTAGGGCCAGCCGCCGCCCTCCCTGCCCCGCAACCTGAGCGCTTACAAAGGAGGAAACTCCAGAACCTACAACTGGCACATGGGGGAGCCAGGACTCAAAATAATAAAGGTAATAGTAACAGCTGACCCCTAAGGAGCGTTTATTGGGACCCTCACCCAGTGGTTCTACCGTGAGGGTAGCACCTCTGTCCCTCACACCTCTCTTAAGCAGGCTGAGCATCCTGTTCCCTCAATGTTTGATTCTCTGTATCTTCAAACTGACTCATTCATTCGTTCGTTCATTGTCTCCCACTTCTAGAATACGGGTGGAGAGCTGTGCTGGCCTTGTTGCTGATGCTCCGGATAGAGTCTGCTTCTCTGCAAACCCACTGTATTAGAAAGTTACCTGGTTCCAGCAGAACCCCAGTGCCTAGAATTATCAGACGCTTAGCAGGCAGCTCCACACTGTTGGGTGAACAAATGACTGAGTTAAAAGAATGAGTGACCTGGGCTGGAGTTGTGGCTCAGTGGTGCAGTGCTTGCCTAGTATGTGTGAGGCACTGGGTTTGATTCTCAGCACGGTGTATAAATGAATGAATAAAATAAAGGTCCATCAACATCTAAAAAAAAATTAAAAAGAATGTGTGACTTCCTCAGAAGGTAGTGAATATTAAATAGGAGTGTAGCAAGTTCAATTTTTTAAAATATCGTCCTTATTTTATTTATTTATTTTTAATGTGATGCTGAGGCTCGAACCCAGGGCCTCGCAGGTGCTAGGTGAGGGCTCTACAGCTGAGCCACAACCCCAGCCCAGGCAAGGTCAATTTTGATACTAGAGGCTAATGAAGTCACACGGCTAGATAGAGGGGGAGCTGAGATTTTGAGCTGTGTGCCTCCCACTCCTACAGTCCCCAGTCAGCCGGCTTACCAGTTCCAAACAGGGTCTCAGGATCCCAGATGTAGTAAGTCCCAGCCCCTCACAGACACTTTTTCTTCCCATGCAGGATAGAGCCCTCTACACTGGTAGGGTTTAGAGAGGGGTGGGATTGGCTCAAGGCCACACAGCAGGTGCTGAGCCAATCTTGAACCCAGGACTTCAAGTTCATCCTTTACTCTGTAATTGGGAAAAGAGACAAAGAGAAGACACAGGTGGGGTCTCTTGTTGAGGAAAGTGGGGTGGGGCTTAGTCCAAGGGAAGGGTAGAGTGAGGGAACCTCGCTCCCCAGCTCATCCCCTGGCCTTAGCCTCCTTCAGCCAGCCTGCAGGAGCAAGGCTGACCCTTGCTCTTGCAGATTAGGCAGGACCCACCCATCTAGAGCCTGGCCTCTGGCTGCAGGCCTGCTTGAGGGTCATTTTACCCAAGTCCAAATTCCCCACCATGCCCCACCTCACCCCATCAGGGCAGGCCAGCTTTGTGAACCCCAGTATTGATTCAGAATTTATGGTGCTCCTGGATTAGAGAGGGGACATACTTGAATGGATTTTAGTACCCAACAGCTATTGTGGGAGTAGTGCCTACAGATCTCAGTGTCCCCAAGTTGCTGATTATGAGTACTGGTCTTGTCCCTCTTCCCCTCAGGGTTGGTGTAAAGGTTTCCAGTCAAGTTCAAATGTTGGATCCCCCTTTAAGGGTTCTCTCCAGCATTCCCTCTCTGCCTTTCCTTCTGGTCACCATCTGTACCACCCTGAGAACACACCCAGATTCCTCGGGTTGACTTTCCTGTCTGTCTGTCCCTTCCCATGGCTACCCACCCAGAGAACAGAATGGGCATGCTGACCTGCGCCTTCTGGAAGCCAGGCTGCCCTGCACTGCCTGGGTTTGGACGTGGAGGACTAGGTTCAGATCCTGGCCAGGGGCAAGTCACTTACCTGTTCCGAGCCTCCTCCTGGAGGCTGACCACCCTCACCTTCTTGTGCTGGAGCCCAGAGCTCAGTGTTCCTGTGCCGATCTAGCCATTGCTCCTCCGACAGAGTCCTCCTGGGGCTGGGGTGTGCTCCTGCTCCTGTGCCTTCTAGCCTCAGACCGCAGCCCCACCCCTCCCAAGGTTCTGGCCCCCTCCCACCAGAGTGCAGCTAAGGCGGCCCACGGTCTCTTTCCGAAGCAGAGGCCCTGGGGAGGGTCCTGAGGGCCAAGCCCGCTCCCTTAATCGAGGGTAGAGGCCGGAAGGACTGCCTTCTTTCCACCATTACTGCTTGCCGAGAAACCTCATTACCATTACCAGTGCTGGAAGAAAGTGTCAGAGGAGGAAGGAGCCTTCTAATGGGGGGGTTGCCTTGGTCTCAGGGGACAGGGGTGGGTGGAGAAGAGGCCCAGGCCCTGCAAGCAGGCTCCCATTCTGTTTTCCAAGGAGCTGTTGTGTGCTGCTTCTATGAAGTATCCCTGCCTAAGGCCTATGCCTCAGCTGGGTCCCTGACTCCATCCCTGCTAGCCCTGTCCTGGAACTGACCCATGCCCTTTCCTTGCACTGGTCCCTAGATCCCTACAGCCTTCCCTCTTCTCCTGCCAAAGTACCTTAGGGGGTGAGGCATCTCCTACCTTTGCTTACTTCAGCTTCAAACAACCCTTAGCTTCTGAACAGTGAAACTGGGTTCTGCTGCTAGAAAGCACTGGATGTGAACTCAGGCCTGTGGAACAGAGGCCAGCCTCCACCCTGCTTGGCTTTGTTCTCCAAGTGAGGTCTGGTGGGCACTGGGTCTGGGAGTAGTATGCTTTGCAGCTCTGATGAGAGAAGAGTAAGATCACTGGTTGTCTCCCTTTGTCTCCTCAAGGGCAGGGAGTGGGGACAGGAAATCAGAGGGCTGATATCCTCCTACGGAACTGTGTGACCTTGGGCAAGTCCCTTTCCCTCTCTGGGCCTCAAGTGGTGATAATAATCACACCCCACAGAACCAAAGCCAAAGACAAGGAGATTCACTAGGTTGACGGCCAATAAGATGGGGATTTGGAAGAAGGCCAGTGCTGGTTAAGGCTCCCCCGGAGGATCTGAGAGCCTGGGGCAAAGGGGCCTGCAGGGCAGCTCCTCCCTGACTGACCCCTCCCCCAGGAGAACCAGCTCAATTGCTTTCTGGGTTTCTAGGTGACTTGGCTGGCCCCTCTGGATGAGTTCTACTTTAAACCTGCTGCTGCTGCTGCCGCCGCCTCTATATTGGGGGGGCTCCCACAGGGGCCCTGAGGCAGGAGCCCCCCCAACCAAGCCCTGCGGGAGGCGCTGCAGGCCCCACCCATCCCAGTGCCCATGCGCGATAACCCCTCCTCCCATCACTGGAACACAGATTTCAGGGCACCTGCTGCGGGCCAGGCACTGCAGAGCCCCTCTGCAACCTCCTTCTTGGGGACACCCAGGAGGCTCTGGCCCTCTAGGCAAACCTTCAGTTTTCAGCAAAGAGGCCCACAGAGGCAGACTGCAATCATAGGGTCGGCAGCACAGGAAGGGACTGTTCTAGGGCTCGCTCTGGAAGGCCAGGATGCTTAGGTCCTTGAAGGAGGTGTCAGGCGCCTGGTCTCCCAGGGCTAGGGGCGGGGGAGGGGCGCCTGCCGGCGGGAGGCCCATTAGCTAGCTAAGTGCTCCCAGGGAGAGGGACCGCCTGCAGCCGAAGGGGATAAGGCGACGTACGGGCACGTGTCTGTGTGTGTGTGTGTGTGTGTGTGTG